AAGGCCGTTGAGCAGCTTGATGAGGAGCCAGAGAGGCCGTTTGTGGGCGATGACTTGGGGTCTCGTTAGGGTGGGGAGGACAGGCCCGGCTCCACCTCCCCCCCCATCCCGTGAGGCCCAACAAGTTTCGTCACTGCGGGCCCAAGCCTGACTGTCCAATGGCCTCTGGAGGATGACAGCCACCAAGTCACCAAGAGGGAGCAGGCGGAGGGACAACACCCTTTCCTCCCTGGGGTGGCCCGGCGACAGTAACGTACTGTGGAGTCCGGATGCATTTCTGCCAAATGCCACTGGGTTTTGAGATTTGTTTCTGAGTCTCTGGGATCATGGCCATTAAGCAGCTTGATCAGGAGCCAGAGAGGCCGTTTGTGGGCGATGACTTGGGGTCTCGTTGGGGTGGGGAGGACAAGCCCAGCTCCACCCTCATCCTGTGAGGCCCTGTGTGTCTCGACACTGGGGGCCCAAATGTGACTATCCAGTGGCCTCTGAAGGATGGCGGCCACTGGGCCGCCAGGGGGAGTAGGCCAAGGCACAAAACCTATTCCCACCTTGGTTGGCCCAGCACCGGTAGCCTACTGCAGAGACCAGACGCATTTCTACCTAATGCCACTGGGTTCTGAGATTCGTTTCTGAGTCTCTGGGATCATGTCTATTAAGCAGCTCAATCAGGAACCAAAGAGGCCTTGCCTCCAATTATATAGCTGAGCCGGAGGTGGTTTGTGGGTGTGTTTCCCACATACCTAACTTTTGGCCATTTACTTTCTTGGTAAACTTTGCCCCAAGTTTTTGGGGTCTGGCCAAAGGCACAGCAGCAATTTTGGAGTATCTGGAAGTCTGAAGGCGCCATGAGGCTGCTGATGCACTCGCCTCACAGGTACAGATTGACCTGCTGGCGGCACCATACCCCCATGCTCATCTACTTCTAAAATTGCTTTCTCCGAGGTGAGACAAGAACCCAGTTACCCTGGGTCCTGGGTGGCAGAGGCAGATGGGGAGAAAGTGACCATCTTTCTCTTCCCTGCTTCACATAAGCCACCTGTGGGACCCATCGGCATCACTGTCTCTTTCTGGTGACTTGTTGCCACTTAGTCAGCAGGAGCTGAGTGGTTGGGAGTCAGCCGGGCTAGGGAGCAGAGTAGAGAGAGAGGATGAAACTGAGCCCTTGGTGGCTTCTGTGAAGACTTTGCCCCACAGCATGATGAATGAGGCGCTCCACAGAACCCACCTCCCACCCCCCAGCACCCTATGAGTCCCACCATTAGTGGAGGAGATTGTTCCATGCACACCAGGTCTTCAAGTAAAACATACAAGGAAGTGCTTCCTGGAGCACCTACCGCCCCAACACTACTGCCGAGTGAGGGGGAGCTCCACTGAGGTGGCTGTGGGACCCCAGCCACCACCGCACCTTTCGGTTCCCTTGCTTGTGAGATGCAGAGCCTGACATTTGCCTCTAATGCATACACGGTGAACACTTAATGCAGCATTAGATTTCCAAAAAAGATTTCTGCTTTTTTTGGGCATTTTGTCCATATGGAGGGATGCGGGGAGGCCAAGCAGGGAAGGGGATGGACCCCAGGGCCCCACATTGGCAGAGCACATGCTGTACCAGTTGGTCTACATCCCTGTGGATCCCCTGCATGGGGGCTGCATGGTGAGGGCACCTCGAAGAACTTTGTCTTGCGTGTGTGTGTGTGTTTGTGTGTGTGTGGTGGTCGTGCCGGTGGGGTGTTCACAGGTCCCTAGGAGAAACCCTATGATCCGCTGTGCACATGCCTCTCCTAACTTTTACTCTAGCGGGAATGAAAGACTCAGAGCCCCGGAACAAAGCCCTGACCAGCTCCTGGTGCAACTTGGGGACTTGGGGATCTCGGGCTGGAGAAATCTGCCTTGACAATGGAGGGCTTCTGCTTTGGGGCGTGGGGGTGTGGCACCGACTCGCGCTGGGGCTCAGGTGACTGCGCCTGATCGGGCAGTGCAGGTTCCTCTGGGCTCTGCTTGGGTCTTGGGGAGGAGGGGAGGACTGACTTCACGAAGGAAGGAACACGGGCAGAAGCCAAAGAGTCCTTTCTAGGTAAAGACCAGGAACAGCCTCGGCGAGCAGGGCGAGCCTGGGGTCTGACATCTCGCGAGAGGTTGGACACTCCGGGAGGAACCGGGATCGTCCACCCCGCGGCTATTCCTAGGCTATTCCTATGGGTGGGGGAAGAAGCCGGGAATGACCGTCGTCTCCGCGCAGAAGCGGGCTTTTCTCTCGTTAGGCTCTTGGGGCATAGTCCACAGATAAAAGCACGATGGGAAAAACGCTAAACTGAAGCCCTGTCCTACAGAATTTGATTCTAGCGGAGCTGGGCCTGCACCCGGGGGGTATAGCTCAGTGGTAGAGCATTTGACTGCAGATCAAGAGGTCCCCGGTTCAAATCCGGGTGCCCCCTTGCCGGGCGCGGCAACATTTTGCTTCTGCTTTTGTTCTTTCTACCCCTCTCAACTCCAATTTTTCTTCCTGACGGGGGTGCCTGGAACTCAGGGCCGGCTGTTTTTGCAGGAAAGGACGCGGTCTTGAGCGCCGCTGAGGCGCCGTGCGTGAGCGCGTGTTTGAGGGTGGGATGCAGTCCCGGGAAGTCAGCGTTGCCCTTTGCTGCACTATCGCGAGGGTAGGGTGGGCGCTCCCCCAGGTCGGCATGCCCCCAGACTCCAGGGCTGCTCTCTGGAAGGGGGTGCTCTCGGGGTGGGGAGGAAAACCCCGAGGGGTTCGTGGGAACGCGCGCGCCGGGGAGAAGCCGGGGAGAAGCTGCATCCCGGCTCCAGAACGTGCGCCCGTAAGACAGTTCGTTCCTTAAGTGAGGAATTTTGAAGGTTCTTTTTATTTTTAACTGCATCTTTCTTAGATTATGAGGAGGCACTTTGAGCTCGTAGCTTCAGGAAACTTCCAGAATGAGTAATATCTTGAAATCTGTAAATTTTTCCTTTTTTTTTTTTGATAAATCCTAAGCACCACTTTTTTTCCTTGAATTTGTAGCAGCGCTTGCATAAGAATACTAGATAGGACTATTTGCAAGCTTTGCCCGGCAGAGGGGGTATAGCTCAGTGGTAGAGCATTTGACTGCAGATCAAGAGGTCCCCGGTTCAAATCCGGGTGCCCCCTGCGCAGCGTTTTTCTTCTTTTCCAAAGAAATTATGTCTCCGGTAACCAGCTTCTTAAAAACTTTCTTTTATCCTTCCACAATTTTATGTTGACATTTCCTTATCCGCCTCTGTTAGGGAAGACAGATCGAGTCAAGAAGCGGGAATTCAGGAGCTGTGGTTCCTGGACCAGCACCGCCACCTGGCAAAAGATTCGTGCACAGGACTCTTTTCACCTTGGAAACTTTTTGGAGCTCAGAAATCTGTGCAGGAAATTCTGGTATCCGCTAATAATTCTAAGCTCTAGGGACTTGCAGTCTAAGAAATTTACAGGTCCTTTTGCATCTTAATATTTCCAACTTGTTTCAGCCTGAGCCCTATAGGAGACCTATAAGACAGGTACCCCGAACTGAGGGCGGTGGGATGCACGGAGAGACCCGGCTAAGAAGCTGGAACCTCATGAGACAGAGGTCGGAAAACGGCAGAAAGCGCGAAGCATGCGCGTTGCGGCGCGCCACGAGGCCACTAGAGGGCAGCAAAAAGCCGCAGCTGGAAGCGTCAACCTGAAGGTTCCTTCTGTGAGAACTGGCAAAATTGGGGGGATTTAAATTAGATATCAGGGATAATTTACGGCCAGCGCTTGTCTTGTCCAATAATGAAGCTTTAGACGGCAGGAGGTCGTTTGCAGCTTCCTGGGTCCTGAGGAAGAGGGACCGGGGGGTCTGAGACATTAGAGCCTTCAGTCTACGTGTCCTGGGTCCCCTCTTGGGCTTAGGGTCAGCAAACCTGGCCCCTCAGCTCACCCTGTTCATCTTAAGGGCCCACGCGATCTTCTTTCTGGAATCCTCCCCCGCTTCCGTGCCCCCGTCTCGTCCTTTCTCTTGGCCACGCTCCAGTCCCGGAGCCCTTCGCCCAGCCCCTCGCCCAGCCCCTCGCCCCTCACTCTTTTACCCTCCAGCTCCTGTCCCGGCGGGAAGTAGGTCAGAGTCGGAGAGAGGCGCCTCTCCTGATTCCTGACCTGATTCGCCGCCGTCTATTAAGTCTCCGAAATTGCGGGTATTTTTATTCTGTCCTGGAAGGGGAGGAAAAAAAGATGCTGTGTCCCCTGAGCCCGGTACCAGGCGGAGGCGGGTGAGGCCTCCCGGTCTGTCCCTGGCTCTGAAGATGGATCGGGTGGGGCCCGGAGTTGGGGGTGGGGATTCCCAGAGAGGAAGAAGGTGACCTCGGTTACTTTTTTCGCAGTGGGGACAAGTTTAGGGTATTGCAAAGTCCACGTGAGACAAGAAGAGACCCCCATGCTCCCCATGTCTGCTGCGAGGGTGGGGTGGGGTGGGGACAAGACGCTGCTGGAATAGGGGGGTGGTGGGATAAGGTGGTGAGCAGCTTGGCTGCGGGTGGAATTCCGGGCTCAGTTGAGGAGGGAATCTGGAAGGGGCGGGGGTCCCTGCGCCCAGGTGAGATTCCTGGGGGCGGGAGACAAAGCATCAGACACCCGCAGAACTCTGGGGAACAAGCCACGGGCAAGCCGGGGCTCCTAGAGGGACGGGGAGTGAGGGGAGACCCAAGGTCCAGTGGGGGGGGGGACGTTCTTTCCCGGGACCCCTTCCCGCGCGATCTGGTCCTGCCGTCGGCGGCTCTTTCCAGGAGCGTGGAGGACCGAAGGTGGGGGGGCGCCGATGCTCTCGGGGGTCCCGGGGCCGGCCCCTCTCCTCGGCCCCCACCCGGCCGGGGTAGCTGTCGGGCGCGCTCGGGGCGGGCGGGGAGAAGCGCCGGGAGAGCTCGGAGCGCCGCGCCCCCCGCCCCGCCCCCTCGGTCCAGGTCGCCGCGGCCGTCCCGGTCCCCGTCCCCGCTCCGGGAGGCGCCGCTCGCTCGCGCCCGCGCCCGCCCCTGCTGCAGCCCGGGACCCCGCGCCGGCCCGCCCGTCCGCCCGCCCGCCGCGCCCTCGCTCGCCAGCCCGGGCCGCAGGGCCGCGAGTGCGGGCTCCGCCATGCGGGCTGAGCTCTGGCTCCTGGCGCTGCTGCTCCGGGGGGCGGCCCGGGCGCTGAGCCCCCAGCCCCGCGCAGGTAGGACCCACCCGAGTGGGCGGGGTGCGTCCCCACGAGGGGGCGAGGTGCCGGGTGGAGGGGGCTGCTTGCGGGCGGGCGGGGGGCTCGGCAGGTGGACGGGACCCCGCTTTGCAGAGCACGGCGGTGTGTGAGTGAGGGTGACTTGTCCTTTCCTCCTGGAAGGACGCGGGGGACCCTAGGATAGAGGGGCTCCTTATCCACATTGCTGACCTCCCCGGAGGGACCCTGGGCGGCGCGGTAGGACCTGAATTCTGCTAAGATGGGGAGCGGGGGCACCTCCAGATTTACCTCCTTTCTCTCTTCCCTGCTTCCACCCCCCAATGATCCAGTCCCGTTGAGGGGTGGGGGCTGAGTGGGAGCAGCCAGGGTGGAGGTGGGGACCCCACATCTCTCACCTGAACCCTTCTTTTCCCTTTGGGTACTTCAGACGGCTTCAGCCCGGGGCTCAGGAAGAAGCAGCCTCTATCCCCCATCCGCTAGCCCACTTCCTGCCCCCTGCTCTGGGAGGCCTTTGAGGACCCCCTCTCCTGCCCACAGCTCTCCTGCCTGCAAGTCCCTTCTGCCCACCCACATCTCCTGTTGTGTAAGAGAAACAGTTTCCAAGTGAGACTCAGCACCTTTCTCAGTGCCTGGGGAGGAGGGAGGTTTGTATTGAGCTTCTGGGGAAGAGAACTGGGCACAGACACCACTTAGGGGGGAGCTGTGGATGTGGGAAGGGGGCTGGGCTGGCATCAGGTCCCAGAGACCAGGTTCTTGACTTTACAGTGTGGAGGTGAGGAGGCTGGGGAGGTTTCCGAGAATAGGAGCCCGGGGTGGGGAAAGCTGTTGTAGCAAGACGATGTTGGAGAGAAACCAGCAGGTTGCAGGGAGGCCAGGCAGAGACTCTTCTAGTCCAGCATCTTGTTTGCTGTATGATCTTGAGCAAGTTACTTTCCTTCTCTGAGCCTAATTTCTCACCTATGAATCAAGGTTGTGGGCTAGGTGGTTGTTGTTGGTGAGACAATAAACCCTATTTTTCTTTCTGGTTTTTGGGCCATACCAAAACACCAGGGCTTACTCCTGGCTCTCTGCTCAGGGATCACTTCTGGGTTGGGGGAACTGTATGCGATCTTTGGCATCAAACCAGGGTTGGCTGCATGCAAGGCAAGTGCTTTACCTGCTTCTTCTCTGGGTCCCCTTTTGTTTTTTACAATTATCTTTTCAGATTTGTTGGGGAAGGGGAGCGGGAAGGTACAGTCTGGGCTGGGGAGGGCGTATCTTCATTTGGGGTAGTCGACTCTTGGGGAGGCCCAGGAGAAGAAGGGCAGGCAGAAACTTGAACCCCATGTCTAAAGTAAGGATGCTCTGTCCTCCCAGCTGTGACAGGCTCAGTGGGAGCGAGGCTCCAGCTTAGGGTACTTTTTTTTTTTTTTTTTTTTATTGAATCACTGTGGGAAAGGTTACAAAGCTTTCAGGTTTATGTCTCAGTCATGCAAATATCAAACACATTTCCCTTTACCAATACTTATTTTTTACCATGAAGAACCCCAATAAAACCCCACCCCCCACCCCTCCCCGTCCCTGTGAGGCGGATGAATTCTAGTTAACACTCTATCTGCTTTGATTAGATTCATTGTTTCAATAAAAGATTCACCACTATTATTTAGAGTTTACCCCCCCCCCCCCAAATCAGACATGCTGAAAAAGCATTGTGAAGTGATTTGCTTTCTACGGCTGGGTTCAAGAATTAAATGTTGGTTTTGGATTTCTGCTCTTTTACCTATTGACCCTGGAAGTATTTCTACTGAAAGTCAGATAGTTAAGAAATTGGTTTCTGTGTTCTGGAGTCCTGGCCGTGCTGGAGAGCCGCTCGCGGGGGGCAACCGGTGGCCTCGGTAGGGCGTGAAGGGCGGAGCGAAACGCCCCCCTTCCCATGAGGTTTTAGTCGCCCCCACACTCCCGGCTCATACCTGCTGTCCACAAGGCTCCCATGTGGCCGCCATCTTTCTTTCCAGAGAGGAGAGGGCGAATGGGGCAACACCCTTTCCCCTCCGGCAGACTTGATGGCCTGGATCAATGCATAGTCTGTTCACTTTTCTGCTCCAAGCTGCTGGGTTCTGCATTAAGTCCTTGTGCTTCTGGGGCCGTGGCCGTGCTGGAGAGCCGCTCGCGGGGGGCAACTGGTGACCTCGGTAGGGCGTGAAGGACGGACCAGAACGCCCCCCTTCCCATGAGGCTTTAGTCGCCCCCACACCCCCGGCTCATACCTGCTGTCCACAAGGCTCCCATGTGGCCGCCATCTTTCTTTCCAGAGGGAGGAGGGCGGAAGGGAGCAACACCCTTTCCCCTCTGGGCAGAAATGATTGCCTGGATTAACGCATAGTCCTTTCACTTTTCTGCTCCAAGCTGCTGGGTTCTGCATTAGGTCATTGTGCTTCTGGGGCTGTGGCCGTGCTGGAGAGCCGCTCGTGGGGGCAACTGGTGGCCTCGGTAGGGCGTGAAGGGCGGACCGAAACGCCCCCCTTCCCATGAGGTTTTAGTCGCCCCCACACTCCCGGCTCATACCTGCTGTCCACAAGGCTCCCATGTGGCCGCCATCTTTCTTTCCAGAGAGGAGAGGGCGAATGGGGCAACACCCTTTCCCCTCCGGCAGACTTGATGGCCTGGATCAATGCATAGTCCGTTCACTTTTCTGCTCCAAGCTGCTGGGTTCTGCATTAAGTCCTTGTGCTTCTGGGGCCGTGGCCGTGCTAGAGAGCCGCTCGTGGGGGGCAACTGGTGACCTCGGTAGGGCGTGAAGGACGGACCAGAACGCCCCCCTTCCCATGAGGTTTTAGTCGCCCCCACACCCCCGGCTCATACCTGCTGTCCACAAGGCCCCCATGTGGCTGCCATCTTTCTTTCCAGAGGGAGGAGGGCGGAAGGGAGCAACACCCTTTCCCCTCTGGGCAGAAATGATTGCCTGGATTAACGCATAGTCCTTTCACTTTTTCTGCTCCAAAGCTTAGGGTACTTTGGGGTGCCCCAGTCAGCCCTGGCTCTCAGACTCCTGCACACCCCACCAGGTCAGGCTGTCCCTGAATGGCCTCTGGGGCACATTTGGGGAGACCCCCAAACTAAAAGAGATTAAAAGGAAGAAGCTGACCCCCTGGGTCCTGGAACCGTGAAGCCCCCTTCACACAGGGAACAGGAGCAGAACAGAGACATAATCTGGTCCTGAGGTAGGGAGACAAATGTTCAGAGAAGGCAGGCGGAGGGCGCAGCGGGAAGAGCTCAGAGACGGGAGAGAGGGAGGAGCTCGTGAGACTACGTTTCTGTGGAGAGAGGAGGCTTGGGCGAGAAATATGAATGTGTGGAGCGCCCAGGCCAGAGGGCAGGGCCGGCTGGAGAGGGCTTCTGGGGACCAGGCAGCCAGAGGGGCGAGCGGGGACCCACTGAGGGCCTTGGGTACCAGGAGAGAGGGCCCGAGGAGCAGGGAGTGATGCACTGGGGGCCTCAGGTGGGCACGCTCAAGGCGAGTTCAAGGGCATAAAGCGGGGGCTGAGGTTTGGGGTGGGAAAGCCACACCAAGATGACTGAGTCATGGGGGTTAGCATCCGGTCTACTGAAGTCCACCCCAGCGCCTCATGGGGGGGGGACCTGGTTGGGTTGCCCTGCCCCCCTCCATCCCCCTGGGGACCTCATGTTAATGTGTGAGTGGGTGTGACTGAATTTGAGTGTGAGCGATTGTGTGTGAGATTGTGTATGTGAGTGTAAATTTGGGAGTGTGGGAGTGTATTTGAGCTTGAGACTGTGTATTTGAGTTGGAGTAATTGTGTGAGTGTGTGTGTGACTGTGTATGTGTGTGGCATGAGTGTGAGTATAACAGTATTTTAGTGTGTGAATGTGAGTGGGAGTGTGTGTTTGAGTACTTGAGTGTGACTGAGTATTTGAGTTTGTGTATGTGAGTGCAGAGGTGTGACTGCATGTGGCGGTGAGTGTGTAAGTGTGGCTATGTGAATGCGAATGTATCTGAGTGTGAGTGAGAGTGTGTGAGTGTGTGTTTGTGGATCTGTGAGTGAATGTGAGTATATGAGTGTGTGAGTAGTTAGAAATGTGCGAGTGTACTAATGTGTGAATGTGAGCCAGTGTGTGTGTGTGTGTGTGTGTGTGTGAGAATGAATGTGTGTATATGTGAGAAAGTGTGAGAGTCTGTGGCATGCACATGCAGGGGGGCCCATAACAGGCACATGAACCCCTGCACACATATGTGAGCCCCCAGCTGTGCTGGTTTCTTTGCTTAGTTGAGGGTGTATTGTCGTGTTTAGCCAGAGGGCGGGGGAGGGGAAGGGAGATGGGTGGGGTATAGCTTTGGGGGTAAGATTCAGGGCTGGCCAGGGTTCCCCAACAACAGTCTCCCCAGGCTCCCATCCTGGACTCTGAGCTGAGCCCCGTCCGGTCCATCCCTGAAGTTTCTTCTTTCCGCTCTCCCTGGCTACTCAGGGCATAGGCCAGAGGCATGCTTGTTGCCCCCACCTCCCATGTTAGGGCTGAGGAAACCGGGGCTTGCCGAGGATTACCGACAATCGGGAATGTCAGGAGTCCCCCCTTGCATCCCCATCCCTCCAAGCCCCTGCCCAGGCCTCTGCCATGGACTGTGCCGCTGGGCCTGCTAGATGGGGGTCACAGCAGCCTTCTCTCGCCCTGCACACACCCTTCTCTGTTCTGGCTGTTGCCCGGACCTGACGCCAACGGCCTTGCCAGGCACAAACAGTTTTGCCTTGGAGGAGCGGGGGACCCACCCAGGAAGAGCTGAACAGGCTGGGCTGTGGGCAGCCTGCCTGTCCGGCACTGGGCTCAGGGCCACTTTGGGCAGCTGGCGGGCATCTTAGGGCAGAGGTCTGGGGCCCACGCCCCTCCTGCCTCCAGCACATCTGGTTGAAATCAGGGACAGAGAAGTGCGAGGGGGCGGCAAGGGTCCAGCAGGCGCCAGCAGCCAAGAATGACTTAATTGGATAAAATATCTAATGACAAATCAGGCCCCACAGCCCAGGCCTGGCCCTTGCCCGCCGCCTGGTCCTGGCCAGGCTTCTACTCAGTCTCTGTCCATGCTGCCTCCTGAAGTTGCCCCCAGTATTGTGTCCTCCATCAGCAGTGATTGAGCACCTAATGTTTGTAGGCACCAAGGATCCGTGTTTGCAGAGGCAGGGGAGGGTCCTTTCTAGTCTGTTTCACCGAGACACCACACCCGTGGATGCTGGGTGGGGGCAGACATGGGATGCCTCTCTGTGATCTGTGCCCCATATTCACATTCATTTTTTTCTTCCTTTTTTGGTTTTTGGGCCACACCTGGCAATGTTCAGGCATGCCTCCTGGCTTTGCACTCAGGAATTACTTCTGGCAATGCTGGGGGGGACCATGTGGTGCCAGGGATTGAACCCGGGTGGGTTGTGTATAAGGCAAGAGCTCACTATACTATGTCTCTGACCCCTACGTGCCATTTCTGACAACACGAACTGATTCAGAAAGTTCCAGAACAGTGGTTGTCATTCATGTCTTGGGATAAAACCAGGACAGCTTCAAAACTCCTGGGGATCATTTGAAAATCCTAATGCCCAGGCTACAGAAGAGACAGCGTACATCTGGACCAGCACCCAGATGGAAGGATTTTTTATTTTATTATTTTTGGGGGGTGTCGCATCCAGTGGTGCTTAGGGCTACCACTGAGGTCACAGGCATGGCTCCTGGTGATATTGGAGGGTCATGTGGTGAAGGGGCTCAACCCCAGGACTCCTGCCTACAAAGCCTGCGCTCAGCCCATTGAACTACCTCTGTGGAGGCTGGAATGATAGTACAGCAGGTAAGGCACTTGCCTGTATGCGGCTGACTCAGGTTCAATCCCTGGCATCCCATATGGTCCCCTGAGCACCGCCAGGATAATTCCTGAGTGCAGAGTCAGGAGTAGCCCCTAATCATTGCTTAGTGTGGCCTCAAACCCCACCCCCCCCACCCAAAAGCCCATAACAAACAAGAAAAAAAAAACCCTACTTGTACAATCTTGGTGCCCAGGAATTTTTTTTTTAATCTTTGCATCTTATTTGGCCATATGACTTTCTTTTAAATTTTTATTTATTTTTGGTGTTTTTGGACCAGACCCACTGGTACTTGGGAACTACCCCTGGCTCGCTGCTCAGGGATCACCCCTGGTGGTGCTCTGTGCTCAGGGCAACTAATGCTGGGGGCTGAACTGTGGCCATCCACATTCAAGGTGACTTCCCGAACCCTTCTACTATCTCTTTGGCTCCCAAGAAATTTTGGGTAGGAGGCGCCACACCTGGCAATGCTCAGGGCTTCTTCCTGGCTCTGTGCTAGGGGATAATTTCCGGTGGTGCTCAGGGAACCATATGCAGTACTGGGGATTGAACCTGGGTTGCTGCACGCAAGGCAAACCCCTCCTGCTGTACTGTTGCTCTGGCCCCATGCCCTCCTTTTTAAAGCTTTCCAGATGGTTCTGGGTTACATGAGGTTGAAAACAGTCACCCCCTTGGAGGCATATCAGCTTAGGATTGGAACAAGTCTGCACCCCTAACCCATTCCCCTGTTAACTTTATTAATTTTTTTTGGTGCGGTGCACACTGATGGAGCTGGGATAGGGTGGGGGCTGTTCCCAGGCAGTGCTCCTGGGTTATTCCTGAATATGCTCAGAGGACTCTGGTGCAGTGGTCACACATGTGCTCCAGCCCTTTGAGCTCTGTCCCCCACCCTGTGCGACCTTCTTCAACCTGAGTTGCGACTAAGTCCTGAGTATGAACAAGAGTCAGTGCCGTGGACGAGGGGTGGCCTAAGGGTGCTAGGTGTACAGTGCTCAGCAGGAAACTGCACAATTGACTCCCAGGCTGGTCACGTCAGTGATAGTTTAGACTGTGGACACCGAACTGTGCCTAGGCTCAGGACTCAGTTCTCTGTCCCTTGCTTCTCTCAGGTCAGGATGCAGCCCAAGGCCCTGGATGGACTGCCAAGGGGACCATGGGGGTCTGGAGCCGGAGAGCCCGCGAGATCCCTGGGCAGGACTCAGAGCCAGACAGGACCCAGCTGACCATGGATCTGGAAGGAAGTACCCTGGCTATCGATACTCTGCCGGACAACGAGACCAGGGTGGTGGTGAGTGCCAGAGGAAATCAGAGAGCTCCCTAGCCCTCCCCCCAAATTCACAAAGATCCTCTACCCTAGGGGTGGTCCTGGAGGTAAGAAGAGAGGAAGGCCCCGGGAAGGATGGACACAGGACCCAGCAGGAGTGGTCCTTCCATCTCAGCTGTGCCATATAATGCATCTCTGAGAACCCAGAGAGGTGAGGTGGTTTGTTCAAGGAGGCACAGCACATTCATAGGGGCCTGCCCTGCCTTTGTCATCTTCCTAGGGCCTCACTAACAGCTGGAGGTGGCTTCATGCTTTCGTCCCTGTGATCAGCTCTGGCCTCTGCCACACTGGTGGGTCCCAAGGGGTTAATGACCACAGAGACCCAGCCTAAGGGCTGAGCAGAGAAGCAACAAGGGTGAAGCTCCGGAGGAGAATAGGGACAACTATCCAGGCCTCAGCTGATCTGAGGGGGGTGTGGTGAGAGGAGGTCCAAGTGTCAGGAGGGGGCCGGTCCTCGCAATGATCCTTTGCCCCGCTCTCCCTCCTCCACCTTGGCTTACCCTCCTCCACCCTGGCATTTGGTTGATGGAGGCCGTTGGCCTGTGTCTATTGCTGAATCTACAAGCACATGAGTGTGTTGGTGAGAGCGTGTTTGAGTGTGTATCTGAGTGTTTTGTGTATTCTGTTTACTTCCTGCGTGCCTGTACTGTGGGCTGTTTGTGAGTGTGCATATGTGTGTGCATGCACGTTCATGTTGTGCATGTGTGAAGGCTATAGGTGAAGGAAGATATGAAATGAGAAGAAATATGACATATTTCTTGCCACTTCTCTCTTAATATTTATTTTTAGTTTTGGGGCCACACCAGGTTGTGCTTAGGGCTTGCTCCTGGCTGACTCTGAAGACCATGTGGGGTGCCAGGGATTGAACCTGGGTTGGGCCTGTGCAAGGCAAGTGCCTTACCCATTGTGCTCTCTCTGGCCCTTATTTAAATTTTTTTTTCTTTTTTGGGTCACACTCTTGTGATGCACAGAGGTTACTCCTGGTTTATGCACTCAGGAATTACTCCTGGTGGTGCTCGGGGGACCGTATGGGATGCTGGGAATTGAACCCGGGTTGACCCAATATAAGGCAAACACCCAACCCGCTGTGCTATTGTTTCAGCCCCTATTTTTAAATTTTGTATTATATTTTATTTTTTTGTTTTTGGGTCACACCTGGTGGTCTTCAGGGCTTACTGCTACCTCTGCACTCAGGGATCATCCTGGAGGTGTTCAGGGAACCAGATGGGGTGCCAAGGATCAAAACTGGGTCAACTGTGTGTAGGGCAAGCACCCTCTTTGCTATCCTATTGCTTCTGCCCTATTTTATTTGATTATTATTTAAAGTGTAGGAGTGCTGCTATTAATTCAGCCATTGGTTAAAGCTGATTGATTGGGCATGAACTCCACATTACTTAAAAATTTTTTTTTTCATTAGTGAAACATCATGAGGTACAGTTATAGACTTACAAATTTTTGTGCTTGGGTTTCAGTTATACAATGATCAAGTACCCATTCCTCCACCAGCGCCCACCTCCACCACCATGGGTCCCAGCATCCCTCCCTAAAAAATATTTTTAATTGAATATCCTTGAGATATTCAAAACTGTTCATTATTGAGTTTCAGTCATACAATGATCCAACACCCATCCCTGGAGTAGCTTTTCAATTGGGTGGCTGCTTTGGGGTGTGGATGTGACTGCTGATGCTTCAGGAAGTACAGAGAGGTGGGGAGAGGTAGCCCATCCCAATACCAAGAAACCTGGGGATTTCTGCCACAAAACCGGCATACCTGAATTTTCAGCAGATTTTGTCTTGGTGAGATCCATCCTGAGACTGTGGAGTCAGGCCGCGGGTATGGAGTCCTGCCATATTCTATATTTTAAAACTTTTTGGATGTGTAATGCCCAAAAGATCAAGTAATGCTGGCTTCAGAGACGTCGAGTCTCTGCCCACCCCCATGCTGCACCCCATCTCCTGCTCAGGACCTCTGGAGTTGGGTCTCCAGGGTTCCCCCCACTAAGTGCCTTATGACTTTTTGTACACTATCTGTTGGCTGGGAGATGATTCATGGTGGGAGTTCATGCCTCGCAGACTTGAGGTCCTGAGTTAGATCCTGGTCTGTGCAGGTGGTCCCAGCCCAGGCAGGCGAGGACCAAACCATCCCTGGGTGTAGTCTCTCCCCACCCCACTCTGGGAAGGCCCCTATGCAAAAAAAAAAAAAAAAAGAAAAGAAAAGAAAAGACACATTTGGGGCTGGAATGAAAATATAGCAGGCAGGGTTCTTGCCTTGCATGTGGCTCACCCGGGTTTGATCGCTGGCACCACATATAGTCCCCTGGGCCTGCCAAACTCCATTGACTCGGGTTCTGTAGATTTAAGAGATGGCCTGAGATCAACCCCCCTGGTCCCCCTTCCATGTATCTCGCCCCAATGTATCTGATGCCCAAATCCTTGAGGGTCTGCATGCCACTTTCTCCCCTGCCTTGAACCCTTCACCTCTGCACAGACCAGCGAGCAGGGAGCAACTGTGGGACAGATGCTCTCCCTGTAGCCCCCACTGCCTCATCCTCCAGAGTCTCGACTCCTTCCGGGTCCCTGTGAGCTGGGTGGCTATGGCCGAGGGAAGCATCTTGACCGAGATTTGGTGGCCACGGGCTGGGCTGATGGGAAGGCGGCACTTCAGCAAGTGTTTTGGTGCCTTTTAGAAAGTTTTCTTGAGTCTCAAACCTGGAAAAGTGTTTCTATTATTGCTACCACAGCCGGGGACTGCTATGCCCTTTGCTTGCCTCTAAGCTTACCCTCATCTTCCCTTGGTGGTCCCCAGTGGCCCTCCTGCTCCTGGGCTTCCCTTCTTCTTTTTTTTTTTCCTATTTATTTATTTATTGAATCACTGTGGGAAAAGTTACAAAGCTTTCAGGTTTGAGTCTCGGTTATGCAATGATCAGACACATTTCCCTTCACCAGTACTTATTTTTCACCACCAAGAACCCCAATATACCCCCCTCCCACCCCTCCCAATGCCTGTGAGGCAGATGAATTCTATTTAGCACTCTATCTAACTTTGATTAGATTCATTATTTCGACAAAAGATGCACCACTATTGTTTAGAGTTTACACCCCAAAATCAGACCTGCTGAAAAGGCATTGTGAAATAATTTGTTTTCTACAGCTGGTTGCAAGAACCAAATGATGTCTATTGTGGCTGCGCAATTTTGAATTTCTAATACTTTACTTATTAAGCCTGGAAGTATTTCTGCCGAGAGCCAGATAATTATGAGATTGGTTTCTGTGGCTCTGGAGCCATGGCCGTGCCAGAGAGCTGCTTGTGGGGGGCAACTCGTGACCTCGGTAGGGCATGAAGGATGAGCCGAGAACGCCCCCTTCCCATGAGGTTTCAGTTACCCTGTCACTACCAGCTCATACCTGGCTTTCCAAAAAGCTCCGAGGCGGCTGCCATCTTGCTGTCCAGGGGGGAAAAGGCAGAAGGGAGCAACACCCTTTCCCTCCCGGGCAGGCATGGTGCCGGGGATCAACGCATAGTCCATTCACTTTTCTGCCGCAAGCTGCTGGGCTCTGCATTGTCCTTGTGCCTCTGGAGCCATGGCCGTGCTGGAGAGCCGCTCCTGGGCTTCCCTTCTGGCCCAGACCCTCTGCCCACTCCAGACCTCTCTGACCCGCACTGACTCACCCCGTCCACCCAGCAGCCCTGCCCAGTCAGCCCCTCCCCCGCCCTTGTGTTCCGCTTCTTCCTACTCAGACCCTCTGGCCTTGGAGACCTGGAGACCTGAGGCCAGCCAAGGAGGGAGCTGCCAGGCCCAAGCCAGACCTTTTCCTCGGTTTTGCTCCACACCCAGCCAGAGCAACCCAGTGCAAATAGGACTCTTGCATTGATTCAAGCTTTCCAGAAGTTTTCCACCAAGCCCAACCCCCAGACCCTGAGGGCACTGGTGATTTGGGGAGGCCTAGCGGTGGTGGGAGGGAGGCGCTGGGTGGAGCTACAGTTCGCCTTCACAGAGGGATTTGGTGGTTCTGTTCCCTGACAGGGAGAAGGGAGGGTTTCTCCCTTGACCCATTCTTTGTGCTTCTGAAGTGCAGAGCTGAGGCAGCTAAAGCAGGGCTGGAGTTGGGAGTCCCCCAGAATAGACTAGGTTCACCCCGGAACAGAAAAGACCACCCCACCCTCTGATCGGAGCAAAACTTCCCAGTTGGTTATACCCACCCCAGCAGTGGCAGTTCAGACCAACTCTTAAGTGCATGACCTAAGTCTAACCCCTTGCCCCACCTTGGGGGCTGTGGTGGTTTCAGATTTGCAGAGTGGGGTGATGAGCGCTGAGGCTTGGGGAACAGATGTGAGTCACCCCCAATTCTCAGTGCTGTCAGGAATCATGGGGGTTCCCGTGCCTGAGGCAGTGGTCCCCACGCAGCTCCTTGTCCCGTTTGGTGGCCAGGAGAGCCGGTTAGTTGTTTTATTTCTACCTTTTCCTTGTTGAGGTGAGATTTAACAGAAAGCCAACCATTTTATTTGCTCATTATTTATTTGCTATTATTTTGGGGGGAATTTGGGGCTATACCTGACAGTGCTTAGGGATTGCTCTTGGCAGTGCTTAGAGGACCTTGTGGTACCAGGGATAGAATCCAGGCCTTCTATAATTGAAGCATGTGTTCTAGTCTTGTGAGCTATGTCCCTGGCCCTCAAAGTAAGCATATTATTTATGTTGTGTCTCTCAGCAGATGATGAGGAGACCTTGGGTTTCCTCCTGTCAAATCTTTGCCAATAAGACCTGTGAGGTCAGTGTCTCATCTGTTGTACCATCTCTCCAGCACTATTTTTTAGTTTTGGGGCCACACTTGGCATTGCTCAGGGCTTACTACTGGCTCTGTGCTCGGGGGACCATATGTGGTGCTGGGGATCCAACCTAGGTCAATCATGTACAAGGGAAGGACTGTACTATCTCTCCAGACTCTCAAATTTTAAAGTGCCA